GAGAGAGAGGCGGGCGCGGGAGGGGGAGAAGGAGGCGAGCGGGCTGGAGGGGGAGGGGAACGACGGTCTCTACGGCCTCGCCCCTGCCTGCGCTATAGGATCTTTTCCCAGCCAAGTGAAATGACAAGAATGCCCTCGGCGGGGCAGTGTAATTATGCGCGGTGGCACGGCCGGGCGGGAAACAGCTCATAGGGAAAATATCGAACGGTTGGAGACGACCGGGTAAATATCCGACGGCCCACAACGACCGAGCCCGAGATCCAACGGCCAGAACGCAATCAAGAAAACGATCGGACGGCCGAGAAGCTCTAATCGCTGAGGAGCCTCCTGCATCCACTCCTCTCTTATTTCTGGATATATGACCTTGGCCTTCTCGCAAAAAGAAAGAAAGAAAAGGAAAGGAATGCAAATTTCGTTCGATTCACACACATGGCTTGGTTTTCTGTTACAGAGACAGGACTGTCCCGACGACGATAACTGAATCATCAGGGTGGAGGAACAAGAACGAAGTCAAGAATGGCCAGCAGCCTGCAGGTCGCCTAGAGCAGGGACCTTGTCACCTCGTAGGCGAGGAAGCAGGCGCCGTTGGCCGGGACGCTGCGCGCCATGGCCGGTCCGAACCCCCTGTACAGACCCCTGGCCCCGTCGGCGGCGAGGATCTTCTTGAACGCGTCCATGGAGCCCGAGTACTTTGGGTTCTTGAAGTCGTCCACCTGGAGCTTGCTCTTCACCACGTCGGTCGGGTACACGGATCCCCAGAACACCGCGCCGGCGACCCCGCCGGCGAGGATCAGGGAGCCCCTGCCCAGCCCCGACGTGTCCTGCCCGCCGGCAATGAACTGCTTCGTGGCCTCGTAGACGCCGAACATGAGCGCGTTGCCGGGGATCTCGCGCGCCATTGTGGGGACGAGGCCCTTGAAGAGGCCCCGCACGCCGCCCTCCGACCGCAGCACGTGCCTCGCCACGTCCAGCGGCCCGCCATACTTCACCGCGGCAGCGGCCGTGGCGGTCACGGTGGCGGCCGCGCCGCCCGCGGGAGCAGCGGCGGCGGCAGGAGCGGCGGTGGCAAGCGCGCTCTGCGCCTGCAGCCTGCACTTGATGAGCTCGGTGGGGCAGGCGAGGAAGGAGACGGCGACGCCGGCCCCGGCGCCGGCGACGACCTGCTGGCCGACGGTGAGCGCGGCGCCGGGCTCGGAGCGCAGCAGGGCCTCCATCTGGCCCCTGACGGTGAAGAGCACGGCGTTGAAGGCGGCGACGGTGGCGAGCGGGGCGCCCATGCCCTTGTACAGGCCCCGGGGGCCCTCGGCCGAGATGGTCTGCTTGACGGCGTCCATGGCGCCGGCGAACTTGGGCGGCTGGCCGGGCGGCGGCGTGGGCTGGCTCTGCAGCTTCACCTTGATGGTGTCGAACGGGTGGCCGACGACCAGCTGCGCCGCGCCGCCCACCGTGCCGGCGGCCAGGTCCTTGGCCACGTCCCCCATCTGCTCCCACAGCGATTTGGGTTGGGATGGATCCCGGTTAGTTTCGTCGCTGCTTTGCTTTGCTTTGCTGATTTGTTTAAGTTTGGAGATAATAAGACATGAAAATCGAGCATCAACAGCCTGTCAATGTTCGCATCCTATACGGTACGATACCGTTTGACGGGATACGATCCTGTCAAACCACAAAGACCAGTAGCGCCATCCTGGCAACCTTGCAGCATCGACACAAATCTCTATGCGAAAACCGCTGGCGAGAGCGAAACCACAGAAGCACGACAGTAAACTACTCCGTGTAAGTTTAAAAAATAAACTTCTCTGTATCCCCTGTCCCCCAAAAGCTGCTGTCAAACTGTGGCTTTGGCACTTTTAAATCAAATTCGGGTGGGCAATCTCTCCCCTAACGATCATTCAAAAAAAAATCCGAGAATATATAAACACAGACGCCCAACAAGTTTCAACCCTATCATCACAATCCTGACACATACGCAGTCAGCACAGCAATGCAACATGACAGCCTGTCTCAACTCTCAAGTCTCAACTAGATCAACAAAGCTTTGGATTTGTTTGTGCCTCAAGAAGGACAAGGCACATTCAGCAAGAACTTGAAAAGACCATCGCATCCGATGAATCTGAAGGCGCGGGCATTCACAGGAGGAAATGGAAGAGAATTACCTTGACTCCGAGGCGAAATGGAGCTGGACTCAATCCGCCCTTCCACCCAGAACAAAGATGAGAAGAGAACACACCACTACCCAGCGGCAAAAAAATACAGGCCAGGAAGAAGGGAGAGGTGGTTCAGATGCCAAGCAAGCCCAGAACCACCCACCCACCCCCTCACCAGACGCTGCAACCAAACAAAACCACAAAGGCGCACCCACATCGCCGTCAGACAATCGCTCCCTCACCATTGGATCGCCGTCGGATGGCCAATCCACTCCCAGCCAACCATTACCACAAGCCAAATCACCAACTACTACACTTGCTCACTCCAAACGTGACACACGCACAGGACAGGTAAAGCTCAACCTTTATTTCATCAACAATCCCGCCATTGCTGCCAGTCTATGCAAGGTTTTCGGAAACAACGTCGCAGTAAAGAAGAATTGTTTGCCATGGTCCTCAATTCTGTCTCAGTTGCTCTGTGTAATGCCGCATCGGAGAAGAGACGGAGGCCGCGCTGGGACCTTTGCGGATCAGCCCAAGGCCGATCGCGTGATCTCATAGGCCACGAAGGTGGCGGCGTTTGCCGGGACACTGCGTGCCATGGCGGGGCCGAACCCCTTGTACAGGCCCTTCACCCCGTCGGCCGCGACGATCTTCTTGAGAGCGTCGATCGACCCCGAGTACCTTGGCTTCTTGTAGTCGTCCACCTGGATCACGCTCTTCACGACGTCGGTTGGGTACACCGTGAGCCACAGAGCTCCTCCGGCGAGGCCCCCGGCAAGGATGAGAGAGCCCTGGCCGAGGCCTGACGTGTCCTGACCGCCGGCCATGTACTGCTTGACGGCCTCGTAGACGCCGAACATTATAGCGTTGCCGGGGATCTCACGGCCCATTGTTGGGACAATGCCCTTGAACAGACCTTTGACGCCAGCGTCCCTCATGACATGCCTCGCCACATCCATTGGCCCTTTGGGTAGCGCCACGCCGGAGACAGCACCTGCTTCAGCTAAAGAGCTCTGGGCCTGCAACCTGCATACCAGCAAATAACTCAGCAGCTGTAGTATGGTATGTCTTGCACCTCTCTTCAATAACACATATGAAAATACAAAAAAAAAGACTATATATACTCTTTGGATGCGCGCCAGTCAAACAAAATCAAGTGCAGCACTCCATCACTCCCAAATGTAGTGTAAGTCATCATCTATCCAAGATGAGTTTTGCAAAGGTATAATCACAACACAAATAAGGTACAGAGTTTGTTTGTAGTTAATCGACACCATAATTCAGCTTTTTTTAGCTATGCAGTCTTATGTCTTAGACCTCTCTTCTTCAATAACACATATGAAAATACAAA